GGTGCAATTGTATGAGCAAGCTTTGCACTAAGTGCAGAGCAACATTATTACTGGATTAAATATTACTGGATTAAATATTAATTAAAGCTGTGACGTTAATGCTATTGCCATTTTAAGTACAAGCTGTCACCAAAATACTTTAAAAGTAAATAAGATGTGTGCATGTGTAAGGTAATTCACCTGGAGAAAGTTTGTATCTATCTTAGAGATACAAACAAGTTGAAATATCAAAATGAAATAAAATCACTTTATTAATAGGCATGACTTCACATCAATGTTTTTTATGGCTCATTTCAGATATGTACATGACACTTAGGCTTGGAAATGTCGGCAAAAGGCTTGAAGTCTCCAGTTACTGGATGCTGGGGCATCCTAAATTCCTGAAATAAATCTATATATGAGGTCTTAACCGTAAAAGTTATCTGTTGCCAATTATTGCCCTACATGGAGATGAAAACAGATGGCCTTTTGCCCAGGATCTTGCTCAAAATAAGTTCGACCCTAGGGAAAATGAATGTTCTCCAGCTGCCTTATTTAATCAAGACTGGCACCTGCTGAAGAAGCATCATTAACGGGTTGTATTAAAACTTAGGTCCCCATCTAAAAACTATTTTTGAGCTTCGCTGTTCAACCTAAAAAACATTTCACATATTAATGGAGAAAATGTTAATGCTTCCTCTACAAGTGATTGATAAAACAAATAAAGTATTTTTTTCAGGTGGATGAAACATTCAAAGTCCATCTGGTGATTGTGTCTTCATATCATTTGAGTGACCCACTATTGAAACTAAATTATATTACTCATGACTCCATATGGATTTTTTGAGGTTAAAACGTTGGTTATTGTCTTGTTTGAAACAAAGTTTGATGAATTAGTTTTGTAAATACAATCCCCCGATAAAGTCAGTTTTGAAACAGTCAGTGATGATCTGAGAACTATATAATATATACAATCAAGTAGATGGTGGGGCAAATTCAAACTGTAGGCAGAAAAGCTCTGGCCAAGACTACAACCTAGGTCAGTGCTAAACACTATTCCACTATGCTCCTCCACTCCTCCAAAGCTTTGTGTGATGGTATCTAAGATTAATCAGACTGCTTATTATTGTTGATTACTGTTTTGCCTCAAGAAGTCAGCTCCTCTGCCCCCATTAGGACATTTTGGATTTCGTTTAGGTAAAAAAAACAATACATTTACATAGATTTGTGATGTGGATTTCTTTTGCTGCTTGCATTACATGGACATGTCTTCCTGTCACCATACACTCCCTTCAGAGGCATACAAAAGCAGTGCGGCATTTATGAAAGCCCACCAAGGCGAGAAGGTGAAAGTTCATTGAAAGCATGCATGGAGATTTTATTCTGTTCCAAGATTCCAGGTCAAGCCTTGGGTTTTTTCCATGGGGCATAGTCTTGGGCTTGGCAACGCCATGTTTGTTTCTTGCGACATCTCAAATAGGACATTGCTTGGATGCAGGGAAGGACTGAGCAGTTTGTGTGCACTAAGCAGAATTTGATTCGCCCTATGTATTCATGGGAAGGAAGATAAACACCATTTTGTTTTCCTGTTCTTTATTTTAAGTGAATGCCATTTGAAATCCTCCATAATTGTTTTATGAAGTCTATTTTAGTCATCTACTGGAGCATTCAAATGTAGCTCATAAACTGACAATCAAAAAACAGCTATTAAATGTTATAGATGGGTAGCATGCAAACAGGCACTTCCATGTCAGATAATACTATATGGCAGGATTCATGTTATTATTTAGGGAATCTACATTGAAAATCTAAAGAACAAATAAAGAAAATTATTTATATGGCACTGTGTGCAACACTGCCACTGCTGTTTAATCTACAAAAGCCTAAATTGCTGAGTGCTGCATTTTGATTTAAATAAGACATTCAAAAATAAAGTGACAAGATTATGAAAGCCAATGATAATTCTCATCTTTATTGTTATAAGAAAGATACCCAAACAACCGGTTCATATTTTATGAACTCCGTTGAAAGGTCTTCAGTAAATGATGACTCTTACTCTGCAGAATCCGACTGACAAAGGAGAGCACAGAAGACAGTTAGTTATTATCAAAGTTCAAAATTAAGATTTCATTTACTGATTGACACAATATCATCAAGGAATACCATTACATTAATACATAAATAACATTACCTTTCCAGCATCACGGCTCTTGGCTCTGAGCTTGTTGACCTGAGACTCAGCGATGTCAGCACGCTCCTGAGCTTCCTCCATCTCATGCTGGACCTTCCTGAGCCTGGACATGTGGGTGTTGGCTTGTTCCTCCTGGGAGGAAAAATGGTTAAATTGTTTTATTAAAGTTGATAAGACACTGTCATATTTACCTACTGTTTATGAACATTGTAATTTATTTAGTTACTTTTTGATTAAAATACAAGATATTTAAGATAAAATATCTAACTTACAGCTTCCTCAGCCTGTCTCTTGTAAGACTTGACCTTGAGCTGGAGCTTATCAACCAGGTCCTGAAGTCTGACCAAATTCTTCTTGTCCTCCTCGGTCTAGAAATATCACATAAATACATGTTAAGTGCTAACAACAAGATAGAAAGTTACTGTAGTTTTACTAAAACCTAAAAATTACCTGGTAGGTCAGCTCCTTAACTCTCCTTTCATATTTGCGGACTCCTTTAACAGCTTCGGCTCCACGTCTCTGCTCCCCTTCAATCTCAGACTCGAGTTCACGAACCTTGTATGTGATGATAAAGTATTATCTTTCGAAAAGCATGTGCCTTTAGACTGGAATTTGTAGAAGTTATATGAGAAATGTATTTTTGTTCATTTTTCAATTAAATCATTTGAATGACAATGGAATTCATACCCTCTGTTCCAGTTTCTGGAGCTGCTTCTTGCCACCCTTCATGGCGAGGTTCTCAGCCTCATCCAGGCGGTGCTGCAGGTCCTTGACTGTAATCTCCAGGTTCTTCTTCATCCTCTCCAAGTGAGCACTGGTGTCCTGCTCCTTCTTCAGCTCTTCAGCCATCATGGCAGCCTGAAATTATGTTGTTTTTCAAGTTTTGGTTAAAGGTTAAACAAAAGGTTTAAATTGTGTGGTTTCCGAGATTTAAGCTGACATCAGTGATAGCCTTTTTGGCCTTCTCCTCAGCGTTTCTGGCCTCCTGAACAGCATCCTCCACCTCACCCTGAACCTGGACCAGGTCAGCTTCCAGCTTCTTCTTGGTGTTCAGAAGGCTGGTGTTCTGAAAATTAATGAGAATTAAAAAAATTTTGATGTGTTGGTTTAGTGACTTGGAAAGGCCTGGTTTCTTGTGAATAACTAAAACCCAACCTGAGAGTGCAGCAGTCCAACACGCTCACTGGCATCGACCAACTCCTGCTCGGCCACTTTACGTGATCTCTCTGTCTGCTCCAGAGCGGCTCTCAGCTCCTCAATCTCAGCCATCATCAGACCGTTCCTGCGCTCCACCATGGCCACCTGCTCCTTCATGTCCTCCTGTCCTCTGAGGGCATCATCAAGGTGCAGTTGGGCATCCTAACAGCAACATAAATTTGGTGTCAGAAATATGAAAGGTCTTTTATACATATTTTTTTTTATATCAAACTCACCTTGAGTTGTCCCTGGACATTCCTCAGTTGTTTCTGGGCCTCGGCAGCCTGTCTGTTGGCGTGGCTCAGCTGGATCTCCATCTCGTTCAGGTCTCCCTCCATCTTCTTCTTGACTCTCAGGGCATCATTCCTGCTCCTGACCTCAGCATCCAGAGTGCTCTGCATGGAGTCAATCACCCTCTGGCTGTTTCTCTTGATCTGCTCCATTTCTTCATCCTTCTCTGCCAGCTTCCTGTCAATCTCGCTCTTGACCTGGTTGAGCTCCAGCTGGACGCGGAGAATCTTGGCCTCTTCATGTTCCAGGGTGCCCTTGAAAGGTTTAAGCATATAGCAAGGTGACAAGGTGCAAAACTAAAGTGTCCTGAATATGCATTTTGTATGTATAATGTGGTTTAAATTATTAACTAGTGAGAATGGTTTTACCTCAGCTTCTTCCAGGGCAGCTTGAATTTCAGACTTCTCAGAATCCAGAGTCTTTTTAGCTTTCTCCAACTCATGAATGGTCTTACCAGTCTCACCGATCTGTTCGGTCAAATCTGAGATCTCCTCTGCAATGAAAGAATAAATAAAATACTGTTTAATCAGAAACCTACCGAAAAAATAAATTATTGTTGTTGTTCTTTTTCAGTTTGATAAGGAATGTTACAGTCGCAAAACTACATGACTTGTATAGATTCTGTGTGGTTTCTTTCTTTATGATGAATTTTTTAATAATGACATACGCTGCAGGTTCTTGTTCTCTCTCTTCATGGTCTCCAGTTGGTCCAGAGCCTCTTCATAGGAGTTCTTCATCTTGAACAGCTCAGTGCTCAGGGAGCGAGCCTCCTTTTGGGCTCCTTCCAGCTCAGCCTGGCTCTCCTCATACTTCTGCTTCCACTCAGCAAGAACCTACATTTGTATGGATAGAGCAATTGATTTAAGTACAATCTTAAGTACAATGTCTTGCCTTGGGTAAAGACAATTTTAGGTTCAAGAACAGTACCTTGTCAAAGTTCCTCTGCTTTTTGTCAAGGTTGGCAGCCAGAGAATTAGCTCTCTCCACATCAATCATGAGGTCCTCCACCTCACCCTGGAGTCTCTGTTTGGTCTTCTCCAAAGAGGCACACTTGGAGTTCACAGCCTCAATGGATTCCTCAGCCTCCTGCAAGCGCTGGGCAAGCTTTTTCCTGGATTAAAAAGTTGTGTTGTTTGGCAAGAACACATGATAAAAATGACACATAATTAAACTGAGACATTGATTATGACTAACTTGGCCTCCTCCAGCTCCTCAGTGCGCTGGATGGCATCAGTCTCATATTTGGACCTCCACTGAGCCACCTCACTGTTGGCCTTAGACATGCCTCTCTGCAGCTCAGCNATGTTTTATAAAACATGTTTCAATTGAATTTGTGCAACACTCACGTAATCAGGATAGACTGGTTCTCACGATCTGCAATGTACACCATAATACTTTAGTAGCTGCTTTAAGTTCATGTCAACGTGAGTATGTCCTTTCTTTTCATTTCTTTTGTGAAAACACTTTAGTCTTTGCTTTACCTGTGAGCATGAACTGATAGCCATTGTCAGAGATGGAGAAGATGTGGGGTGGAGCCTCAATCCTCTTCTTGCCTCTGTATCCAGCTACAACAACAGCATCATACACAGGCAGCCACTTGTAGGGATTCACGACCACGCAGAACAACCCGGAGTAGGTCTGTTACAGAAGAAGAGATAATCTATGTTTAGCCATTTCAATGAATACACAGATACGATTTCTCCTTTGAAGTTCTTTGAAATGCAGCTGAGAACTCACGTAGATCATCCAGGATGCATAACGCTCTTTGAGGTTATACAACACACAAGGCTCGTTGAGGTGGGTCATCATGACCATGTCCTCAATTTTGTCGAACTTTGGAGGATTTCTGGGGTGGATGTCATCCTCTTTGACTGTTACAGTCTATTGAAAAAACACAAATGATTTTTTCCCCCCCAATGATTTCATTTAATTCATGCAGTGTTTTTATTTTAAGTGGAGTTTGTAAGTTTTTTTTTTAATAATATGATTAATAAGAATATTTACCTTTTTCGATTCCAGTGTTTCAACAGTGGCTTGGCCACCCTCCCTCTTTATGACTTTGCACTTGAGATACATTTCATCAGCATCCACCACGAAATAATCTGTTTTAGCATCAAATGGAGCGGTCTGAGCCTCAATCCTCTCCCTTTCTGGCTTCCGGAGGTAAATGGCCGCTGGGCCATAGGCCTCCATCTCCGCATCTGTGCTCATGGTTGCACTATTAGTGGAGCCTAAACATATGAAACGTTTTTAATATAGCCACACAGTAAAAATAAAACAAAATTACATTAATATAAATTCATAACTGCCTCCTGAAAAATTACCTCAGCTGATGCAAACAGAAATATTTCAGTGTCCTGAAGTGCCAAGGTACTACAAAGTAAAAAACATAGTTGGGCAAAGTTTTTGTAAAGATTTTATAACTATGTAAGATATTCTAGTGTTTTGGGTGTATAATTGTCCAATACAGAAACTGTATGTGTTCATAGATTTTAACTCAAAAGTAATCAGTAAAGAATGTTTTACATAAATGAAGTGGTTTGCTGTTAAATTGTATCATAAAAAAATATATGGGATAACTGTACTACACTCACCTGTCTTAGAGGCCTGCCAGTTAGAGCAAATGTCTTGTGCTGCTGCTTTTATATTCAACAGCCCAGCCTCCTCAGCATGTTGCCTGATCAGTTTGGTCATGAATGTTTGACACCTCATTGCTTGAGGTTGATGCTGTCCGAAATAAATAATTGTTTCATATTTCATGATCCCACAGCAAATGGGTTGTCTAGATTAGTTTTAATTAAATAAATAATTAATTAAAACTACATCAGTATTACATGTGGATTCTATAATATTTGATGTTCTATACACTAGCAAATTTTTTAACTCGATTCCTTTAAAAGAAAATTGTGACGCTTCTGCCGTATTTGATTTATGTATTAGTAAATCAACGGCTTGGCCCCTTAACAAAATTTTAATCTTGACTGTGTTTATAAAAAGGTATTGGTCATGTTTACAGTTTACCTCCTGGTCAATTGCAAGAATGTACTTAATTGTTGAACGATGATGTGTTTAGACGAGGTTTATAGGTCACATATGTGAACCTAGTAAATTTTTATATCAAATTTACAAGGTTTCTCTGAAGGACTGAAATGCCTCAGACATCCAAAATAGAATGTTAATTAATGGACCTTCCATTTGAACTGGATAGGTGTAATAAATCTTCTTGGAATGGAGTTTGAAATAAATCCAGCTAAGGTCATTTAACACCATAAAAAAATGCTTCTCATAAATATTATGAATGACCACAGTTTAAGGGACATAAAAATATATACATATATGGAGAGTACTTCATTTAGGAAGTAAAATATTGGGAATTTTCTTGATGCTAAAAACAATCTTGGATTGTATCCACGATGAAGTTCATGTTTGAAATTCTGCAGGACTTGGCTCATAATTTGTTCTGTTGCAGTATATGATGATAATATTACCATGGTCAAAAATAAATTCAGCTTAGGCACAGAGCAATGAATCGTGCTTAGCATAGGGAAGAAGATATATTTATAGTGCACATTTATTTGCTCTAGGTTTACAGAGATTTATAATCTAAAATGTAATTTATTGTGTTAGATTATTTTCAGATAATGTTCTAAAAATAACCTTAAGTTCTTTTAGAGCAGTAGCTTCTTTTTCTGTCTGTCAACCGTTTAGTCACCTTTCAGGTAAATCTCACTTTGCTTGTTTCTGAGATGTTCTTGAACAACCAATTGACTTTCATCCGCATGGACAGTTTGTGTCATATGTGCCTGTGTATATTCCCAGTCATTTGAGTCATGTCTGAATCAACAGGCTTTAATCAAGGAGAACTAGATATTTGATCAATTTTTCTTAAAGATGTTTCAAAACCTATACAGTAATCAATCAAGATTTTCTTTAGTAGCACATTTCAGCTATACAAAACTGCCATGTTCAGGTATTTTGAACATGGCAGTTCAAAGTAATTTACATTGTTAAAACATTAAAAAGCATCATATAGTCAACAGCGGAGTCAACAGCGGATAATTTAAAAAGATTTAAAATTGTTTAACATTTAAATTTAAGATTTTAAGGAGCTAGCAAGTTTACTTTGCAA